TTTATTTGTGCCCACAATGTTGTTTTTTTTTTTGGTTTTTTTCACGCTTCTTATCTTCACTAGCAAAACACCATGTTGACATTAAAGCGACATTTTCTGTAGCATCCTATTTATTTCTCCGTGGTTGTTTTTCAGTATTTTGTGATGTTTGAAGATTATTTGTGACAGGATTTTGGTTGAGATTTGAAAAAAACGAAGAATTTTCAAAATATTGACCATTAGAACAATTTTGAGAGTCTCCAAGATTTATATAAAAATTTGGAAACTCATCGTCCATATTTAAAAATACAAATCAAAAGGGATTAAAATATAAAATGAGGATTGGGTATGAAGATATATGATATCATACTCTTTTATAGATAAATTTTTTTTTACAATTTTCAGTATTTTTTTTAAATGGATAATGTTAAATTTTATTAAATATACAACTTTATCCTATAAAAATATAAGCTTTAATTAGTATGAGGGCGCGTGGTATAAAATAAAGAAAAATAATCCGGCTAATTGATGTACCCACTGCGTCCGTGGGTTTTGTCACAATTTCTTAATTTTTTAATATTATTTTGACAACCAACTAGCTTTTTTTCACCAAACGGCATGGTCTAACAACCCAAACCAAACTAACCTTTTATTATTATAAAATAATTAAAACTAAACAAAAATATATGAATATTAGTCTTTATTTGTTGTGAAAAAATATTATAAATCTAGGTCTATTTTTTATTTTAATTTTTAAAAAGATAAAAGCCTAATTTAATATTTATAAGATTTATTTAAGAAAAAAAAAAGAAAAAAAAAACAATTGAAAGTTAACACAAATAGTCGCGACTTTGTTTGGTGGACCGACGCCTCCTCTCCTTAGTTGACCATTTTTCTTTATTTCTCATTCTTGTGTCGCCTTGAACCATATCTTTTTTCGGTTATTGGATATGGATATGCCTTCACAAATACAACCCATGATGGATATATTCAATCTGCAAGATAGTAATCATGCTTGTAGAGTTCTTCATTTAGATAAAATAAACAATCGGGTCTTGTTTAATGATATTTCTCATCAAACAGTGGTGATTGGTAAATGACGTTTAAATCATTGTTCGAACCGACTACACCATAGAATGACAAAACTGCAAATTTGGTCCTTGTGGTTTATAAAAATCTTTGGATGGGGTCCAAAAAGTTTCCAGCTTGCACAGAAGGTCCAAAATCAAGGTTTTCTTGGTTTTTAGTCCAAAAAAACTTGAAAAGATGGTTCTACCCTTATTTATTTACTTTTACATTTTTTTTACATTTTATTAACATTTCAATAATAATAATAATAAGAAAATGGGTAAAACTCTATCTCTCTTACATCTCTTTCTCCCTCCCTCCACCGATACTTCTCTCTCTCTCTCTCTCTCTCTCTCTCACACACACACACACATACACATACATACAGTGTATTTTCATCAGAGAACTTTGTATTCTCTCTGTACCTTCAAAAATCATCTCCACAAGAACAGACACTCACAAAACTCTACACACACACAAAGAAAATTAAACACACACACATAGTAAAAAAATTCAGTTTTGCTAAACCTTATATATGATTCTCCAGCTCCGACGATTAAAGACCCATCGACGAATTCCCCTTCTCCGTTCTTCGTGCCACTGAGTTGTGCTTCACCGACTATTACTAGGGTTTCATCTATAGATTCAAGACCCACTGACGATTTCTCCAACTCTGGCGATAGCTCTAGACATGTATCGGTGGTGGAAGCTCCTACATGTAGCAGTGGTGGGATCACAAACAAAAGGATGAAAACATGTAGCAATAGTGGAATCACTATTAAACCCTCTTTTCAATGATGTATCCTTCAAAATCTCGATACACTTGAGTCAATCCAAACCTCAATTTCTATGCAAACTGTCTTATTGCAGTGAAATTATGGAACCCCCAAATGGAATATGGTTTAGACTGAACACAATCACAACAAATCGAGAAAATTTTGAAAACCCATCTCTTCAAACACTCAGAGAAGATGATTAGTTGAACCCCTTCGTGAAGCAATCTTGCCATAATTTCTCAGAAACGACGATCTCAGTCATAGTTTGTTTCCCCTTCTACATCACTCTCTTGTTGATTTCAAAAGTTGTTGTAGTGTGCTTAGTTGAATACACTTATTCTCAAAAGAAATTTGATTCATCCAAGTTCTAAGTGATTTTACAAATGATCTGGAGATGAATTATGTGAACATACCAGGAATTATGTGGGTGGGGTTTTGCAGTTTTGATGATGGGATGCTATTTCCAAGTTGTAGAATGGTGTGTTAGAGAAGACGAATAGAGAGAGAGAGAGAGAGAGAGAGAGAGAGAGAAAACGTATGGGTGGGTGGGGGATAGTACATTTCTTTTCTATTTATTTTTAAGTTAAAGTGGTATTAGAATAATTGTAAAAAAAAGAAATTAAAAGGGTATAATCGTCTTTTCAAGTTTTTTTGGACTAAAAACCTAGAAAACCCTTGATTTTGGACTTTCTGTGCAAGCTGGAAACTTTTTGGATCCCATCCAAAGATTTTTGCAAACCACCAGGACCAAATTTGCAGTTTTTTCCCATAGAATGCATGTCAAAACCATAAATCTTGTGATGTCACCGCTTCTAGTATCATTGATGGATATTGATGGTCACCCCTCATGTATTGGTCTCTTAATTCCGTTGGACAATTCCTCCAATTCCAATGTGTGCAGTCAATGCTACCAAGCATTCCACAGAATCCATGTCTAGCTGCATGTGCTTCATACAAAAGTTAAATGTCAGTGGATGTTAGACGGCGTAAATATTCCGCATTATACATTTGGACAACACTGTAGCAAAAGTTTTCAAGAGCTTCACGAGAAGTTCTTTCTGACATATTCAGATACTCATCTAACGAGTCTGGGTTATAACCCTACGCTAATTAACATATTGTTGATGTGCATTTTTGTAGCGCACTGAAACTTCTTTGATTTGTTGCATCCCATGTTGTTTGAAAATAATGATAATTCATCTCCAGGTCACCAACAAGTCGCATAAACAAACTTTTTCTCATACGGAACCTTTTAGTGAATTGTGCGTGACTATAGGTTGAATCATCCGCAAAATAATGACGGATCAACAGTCATTCAACCTCTAAACGATCTATGTGGATTGTGTTTCTCCTTTGAATGTTGTTTGAACTAGCATTATTCTTAAGAAGAAGTTGTGCATTACGAGACAATACATGTAACAAATTATTGTTGATAAGTTCATCCTCACATGATGAACTATCATCGTTAACTTCCATTACTATTTTCCGAACGTTTTGATTCGCTTTGAAAAGAGAGAAAATATAGAGAGTAAATGAAACAAACATAAATATATATAGATAATTAAACAAGAATATATATATATATATATATATATATATATAATATATATATATATATATATATATATATATAATGAAACAATGGTACATATAGATAATCTTAATAAAAACTAGAAAGGTTACCCCCGCTACGCGGGGGCCAAAAGCTTTCAATGTTGTTTGCGAATCGATAAATATGACAGACGTAGAAAGTGCAAGGATGAAAAGCTCGGACTTTGCCCCGAACCGTTTTTTTCATGTTTTTATGAAAAAATGTAAAAGTTTTGACTGCAAGGACCAGAAGTGTCAAAATGGCTAAAGAATTAAAGGGGTAGGAATTAGCAACTTTTTAGAAAAGGGATCAAAGTTGTCAAACCGTTAAAGTTTTGTGGCCAAACTTTAAAGAGCAAAAGGTTCCTAAAAAGTGTAAAAATATTGATTGTAAGGACCAAAAGTGTCAAAATGGTTAAAGAATGAGGAGAAAAGTTGCCAAAAAACATCCAGTTTTAATGAAAAAATGTAAAAGTTTTGACTGCAAGGACCAGAAGTGTCAAAATGGCTAAAGAATTAAAGGGGTAGGAATTTGCAACTTTTTAGAAAAGGGATCAAAGTTGTCAAACCGTTAAAGTTTTGTGGCCAAACTTTAAATATTAAAAGGTTCTTAAAAAGTGTAAAAATATTGGTTGCAAGGACCAAAAGTGTCAAAATGGTTAAAGAATGAGGAGCAAAGTTGCCAAAAAACATCCAAATTTATTATTCCTAACTTTGAAGCCCAATAATAATACAGGGACAAAAAAATGACAAGTTTACTATTCCTTTTCTTCATAACTTTAATATATATATAATAATAAAAATAAAAATAATAAATATAATAATAAAGAGAAAGATTCTGATAGTTTGGATTTTGAAAATCTAAAGAAAAAAATGAAATATCTTGACTTGAACCACCTTGTGTAGCTTTACGTCTTTGGCTAGAACCAGTTTGTTTATCTTTGCCTCGAGAATCCATTGAAGGTAATTACCGAAGAAATTGAGCAAATTATATAAATTTTGAGAGAAAACACACTACAAATGAATGAAATGTGTATTCATTTTTATAAACTTAAATAAAACAAAACAAAAAATAAAAAATAAAGAAAAGCACACGTATTCTTCAAACATACTATCTCATAACCAACTTTGTGGGCCACCACCAACTCCAAATGATCCCATGACCAACATGATGGAAGTCTTTAATTTCCCCAAAGTCCAAAACAAAGGAACAACCGTTCGACCTCATTTCACTTGGACCATGGAGAATGGGTGTCAAAAGAATTTGGTAAGGCTGATGTAGAGCTCAACATGTTATGGAGCTCAACATGTTATGGGTACATCACCCCCACCTCTAACATGTTGTGAAAATCATCCATTCTCGGCATTGCATTACTGAAGAGAGAGAAAACCGTATGTGTACTACACCTTCACCTCTTCCAACAATGTTTTTCGCTTTCTATTGGAAAAATTATAGATTATGAAGATTAAAAACGCAACAATGATCATATCATTGCCACAAAACGTCATGTTCGGTTTGCATTTTCTCAACATTTGCTTGTGACAAGACAAGATAACATAATAAGCATCGATAAATAATAATTACACTTACATTCAATTCACTAGTCATTCATACAAACTTTACAACCCCCCAACACTTTTTAACTTTTAAGTTTTCAACAGACAAACACAACACCCCTACCTTCAAGACTTGAACCCTCTGCACAATTTATCAACACTTGGGAAAATGCAATTTCATCAGACAGAATCTATCAATTACACCAATCCGAATCCATCCATATTATATAACTTCATCTTCATTTCCCATACATTAAAAAAAGCATGTGGGCGACAACATGTACCTCGTGTTGTCAAAGTTGTACATCACTCCAGATTTATAAGCCTTTTCAAGTTTCAACCAATCAATCCTCAAAAAACTGATTTCACATGACTTTTGTCAACAGTTTATGGTTGTTGGATACAAATCTCAAACTTGCATAATGGACATGATGCATTGATTTTCAGCCATTTATCAACACATTCTGTATGAAAGAAATGTGTGCATGGAAGCTCTCTCAACAAATCATCATCTCTATATTTAGCCAGACAAATACAACAAACCTACACCATTATAAAATCCACCTCACCATTAACCAGATAATTAAAAATAGTATCTAAATTAGTATATTAAGAACTTACAGCATCTTCTCCAGAGATAGGGCGTTCATTTTCTGTCCCAGGTGCTAGAATCCCACCTTCATCAACTCCTGAATCATACTCCTTAGATTCGTTTTTCAGAGCTCTCTTTAGCTTGAATTTGTGTGTTGGAAGAGCATTAATGGAGTCTTGATTTGCTCCTCTGATTTGATTCATATCCTCACGGATTCCAAGGATAGAAACAATACAAGGAAAGCAACAACATATCATTCCACATAAAATGAAAGGCATTGCATACCCTATACAACTTATGGCAAGGAAAACTATACTTAACCTGCAACCAAGAAAAATTGTATGTTATAGTACCATTTTTAGATAGAAGGGTAAAATGGTCATTTAAGAACTAAGAGTAGCACCTGTACAAATTGGGAGCATCAATAGAAGATGATTGGTCTCCAAATATCCAAACATTGCCAACTACAAACCATACAGCAAAGAAACAATCCACAGCCATCTTGAAATGATCCACTAACATATTAACCCTACAAGAGGAAAATCATAAAATGATGGAGTAATAATCATGTAGCAGATGAGGGCAAAGTTGTAAATTACCTGACATTTGAACCCACAACATTTAAACCATTCCAAGCATCTGAAGATGTTGTAGTAGTAGTTGTTTGACGAGTTTGCTCTTCTGAAGAGGGAGCAAATGAGATTGTTATGTAAGAATTTGGTTCTGGTGGAGTGTTTTCTGAACGTGGCTGCCCGAGTTGAGCTGACCGCTGCCCGGAAGCTTGATTCCGGTGAAGATACCGCCAGTATAGCAGAGGCAGACATGCAGCACAGCCGGCGGCATAACCAATAACCCAAGCAAACAAAGGGTTTTGAGGGTTTTCATGTTGTGAGATTGATAAGACAACAATGGCAGCAACAATTTGTCCTAATGTGAATAATAACTCAATTGAAATCCATAATAATGTGTTGAATGGATTCCACCTTTCGCCCCTCCTGCCAGGTGGATTTGATCCATTTGATGGAGGTGGAGTAGAATCATTAGAATGAGATGACCCTGATGATGAAGCATCAGAGCTTCCTCTTTCCACATCAATAAAATGGTGGTTTTCGTGGTTTTCTGTGTGATCTATGAGCAAAGGGTAATCATCTGTTAGATTGTTGTGTTCTTGAGAGGTAACAGCCATATCCTAGTCCACAAAAAGTTTAGAAATGTCACATAATTGCTGATGCAATTGCACACAAAGGAATAAAGAAGAACACAGACATATTATGAATACACTCTTTAAGAGCATCTTCAAAGCCACTCTATTTTTGCTATTACACTTTACTTATAGTGTAAAATAGAGTAAAAGCTCCGACACTACTCTATTTTACACACATAAATAAAGAAATGAGTAGTTACACTATAAATTTGGAGTGTAAATATCTTCAATTTCAATGAACCACTTCCGCAAAAGTCAAACTCAAGCCGAGATAAAAAAAACCAAACCATGTTTTTTTGATAAATTATCGACGATTTTCACATAAAACAAACTGATGTGAAATCACTAATCCCTCGATTACAAATTGCTATAAAATTGGGAGCTGCGATTCAAAACCCTAGTTTTCAAAATCAACTACAGCATAACATCAAATAAACACCACCAAAGTTCGAGGGACCAATCGATATACTAATTCCGAAACAGCATAATAACCCAAGCTCATAACAATTACAAAAGAGAAACATATTAAAAGTACAGATAGAGTAAACAGAGAAAATGATATTGGAGACAAACAGTACTTGTAATCACACAAAAACGTACCAGTGATCTTACGTCTCAATTAAACGAATTTTGCAGAATGAAGAACCTTAATCGGGTGAATCGATGAGATTCGAACTTTTTGTTGTTTTTGATCGAAAAAGAAGCTCAGCTTCTATCGTTATTTAACTTTACCCGGCTTCTATCAGTTTGCTCAACGCAAAATAGAAAAATATCAATATGGATTTTTTATATATATTTTTTCTTTTTTAAATTGTATAATGTATATTGTACTAAGTTAATAAAAGATTTATAAAACATATTTATCATTAATAAGATTTAAGTTTTTTTTTAAATTTGTATTGATTATCTAAAATTTATATATATATATATATATATATATATATATATTATATATATATATATATATATAACATATACGTTCAGTTATCGTGTTTTGTTTAAAAATGAATATTATTTAATATATGATTTTGAGTGTTGAGTTCTAACAAGATAGTTTTATGAAGAATTGAAGTAAAACTATGTTTAGAATCATTCAAGAAGTATTGGAAGTCTTATGATATTCCAATCAAAAGTCAATATTGAAATTAACAAAAATATAAAGTTGGAAATAAATAAAAAATAATGTATTTGAAAGTTGAAGATTATCTCGTTAGAAACATTTAGGCGAAAACCTCATCGAAATCCGAGTTATAACGAAGAAGTTATGATCAATCGAAGATCCGCGACAAAACCGGTAAAACACTATTTAGCGTAAAAAGTGAGTTTTCGATAAACTACTTTTTAGCTTTAGTGATCTAAATGAAAATCGTAGTATTCGTTAAACCGAGAATTTTTATAAAAAGAACGTCCAAATTTGACTTCGTATGAGGAAGTTGTGATTTTTCTAAGTTTCAGTATATCAGTATACAACTAAAAACTCGAAATAAAGATCGAGTGATTTTTAGCCGACACAACCTAAACGAGAATCGAAGGTCTCGTCAATAGTAGTACAACGGTAAAAAGACAGACGAAAACGGACATCGGATGAAGAAGTTATGAATTTTAACGGATTTTCCTGTCCCGGTCTGTTAAAAATAATAATATTAAAAATAAAGTCAAAATTAGCCAACAAAGTCTAAACGAAAGTTGTAGAGTATAATCTCGCCTACACGTGCATATAAAGAACGTCGAAAACAGAGCTCGTATGCGAAATTTATGAATTTTTGAAGATTTGGGCACAAAATCCGAGAAGCTTCGCATACTAGGCTCGGACTCGGCCACGTACAAGCCTCGCATGCGTGACGCGTGTCCGACTCGTGTCATGTCTGAAGCGAAGGTCCAACCGAAGCTCGCCGCGTGTCGCACCCGTGGCCTGTCCGAAGCGAGCCACCTCGCCTTCGCTGTTGACGCGTGTCTCGACCTCGCTTCTGACGACTGGCCCATCGCAAGTCCGACACGTGTTCCACCCTCCCCCCCCCCTTCGGCCGAAGCCTCGCATATATAAGGTAGGTGCGAACCCTCCCGGTTTGGGTTGGTATCTTTCATACTTTTATGTCACACCCCCAAACCAGACGGCGGAAACGTCCGAGGGTGGAGGATTTCATTTGTAGTATCACAACACATGCATTATAGTAATCAAAGTACAAACAACCATTGTATTTAAAAAATATAAGTATTTACATGTGTTCAATCACTGTATATTGACACCAAAATAATTATAACAAAAGACAGAAGATATGACTCAAAAATAGCTCCATCTTCTCAAAAGCTCGGGGAGTACCTGTTTATTGTTTCCATGAGAATACAAGTAATTTAAAAAGAGAGTATCAACATAAAGTTGAGTGAGTGCATAAGTATTTATGTTTGAAAGTATATTTTCTGTTTCTTGAATATATAAACTGTTCCAGAAAATCCTATATTTTCTGATGTATATGAAAAGTTGTTTTAATCTCATAAAAATGTTCTGTTTGTAAACCAGTGTTCTGTATTTGTATTCATTTATGTAAAACTTGTAACTGTGAGTGTGCCTGGTTCTACCAGTTGTTATTGTAAACTGTAATGTAATACTATAAGATGTATCTTGTAAACTAGTACTTTGAAAAATGTACTTATGTTTAGTTAATTATACACTAACGTATTGTTAATATCTTTTTAATGAGTTATTATTGTTGGGTTTTGAGCATTCTAACACTCCTATGGTGTACATGCAACCCTAGAAACCTTGGATCTATGTTTTCTCTAAAATACATGCAAATTTGATTTTCCAAGGTTTACTTCCTAACTAGCATGTTATGGGGGAACTTGTAATACAAAACTCAAGTAGAATAACATACATTTTAGTAGCTTGAATTCCTTGATGACTTTGTGAGCCTAGTGCCCCAAATGTGATGCCTCAAATGCTTCACACAACACCACAATACTTTGGAATAACCTTGAGAGAATTTCACTAACACCTCAAAATCGGCTAGCCCTCTTTGTTGCTTGTACAAGTGCCGATTTTGCTAGACAAGGGGTCTTTATATAGTTGTGACACAAGTAGGGTTACACCATGTAAACCCTAATTGCCATGGCTTTCCATATTCCATGATCCATGAGTTTGTAACCTCCATGGACTATCCATGGAGCACCTTATGGGGTTTAACCTAATCCATACAAACCATGGATCATTAGCCCACTATACAAGAATAGATTTTTTACACAATCAACATCATATATTTAATTAGTCTCTTTTTGATCACTTAATTAATTTCAGATTAATTCTTTGATCAATACTAATTAAATAATATTATTAATATATTAGTACTTATAGTATATTAATAAACCTTAAGTGTCATTTCTCTCATTTTGGTCTATCTAAGTATTGCAATGCCATGCAACCCAAATGGACCATGCCGAGTCGGGTCAAGTACATACCAAATATAATTATGGACTTAGACACTATATTCAACAATTATAACCATACTGAGACTAGATGACCTGACCCAACGCTTTGAAGGCGTCAAAAACTGTTGATAACATCTGTCACTCGTAGGCGTGTATGCCTGACTGTAGCTAGCAGTCTGAGTGCGGGATTGTCAATCCCAATATAGATCTATACACACATTGTTTCGATCCCCAACTGGAGATTCTGGTTATAATGTCAGGACTTTAACTATTTTGTTTAAATGAACTAAACAACCTGAACCAAATGACTCATAAAAAGCATATAGACGTTATAATATAAGTGAAAACCCAATCATTCTGAAATAATGATTGATTGTATATTCCTGAATTAGTATTCTTAACATGTATTTGAAAGCTGTATACCCTCGATTAGCTTTGAATCAAACCCTTATTTCTTGTAAAACGGTGTATTCTAATATACTTGAATCGTGAATTAATGTTCTATGTATCATAAATTATACCTATTATAATTTATATGTACTTTCTGAATTGGTACTAACTATTCATGAATGTAACCCCTTGCTCAACATGTTACAAAGGGTATCTAAACTGAATGAAATAACTTTTATATTTATATACATATACAATTATATATAAGTAAAATTTAAACGACATTCGGACAAATAACCGATACTATAAGCCCACATCCGAACAAGGAAAAGGACCCAAAGTGAGTTATCAGTCCTAAGCCTTTTAAATCTTATATATATATATATATATATATATATATATATATATATATATATATATATATATATATATATATATATATATATGATTTTGGGAAAACATTAGTTTATAAAATCATTTAAAGAGTTTAATATTTAGAAATATTTTTGATAACTTGATGTCATTTTAACACATTTTGAAACTATTTGATTTAATGATAATTGAAATCCATTTATTTGTAACACAAAATCCTTGTGTTAGACTTATATCCCCCCCCCCCCCTTAAAACAGTAAAAACTATGAAAATACGGTGTATGAACTCACTTGGTAAGAGTGACGATTTGATGAAAAGTTGGGCTTTACGCGGGCAGCACTTCGACTGGAAAGAGGTTAGCTTCTCGAGAATTTCGGGGCTTCGGGCTTTCGGCAGAGCTTGGATATGTCACCGGGGCGTCGGGGGATTTAGGAGGGCTTAAAAGTGTGTAAAAGCAGGAGAGAGTTTGTGAATTTGCAACCTAAACCCGGAGCTCTCGGTTTCTATTTATAGGAGGCTGAGGTCTCCCCGTACGTTGGGCGTACGCTGCGTACGCTGGGCGTAGCGTACGTGTCCAGCCTAGTCGTTACACGTCGGAGCTAGTATGCGTGCATGGCTCGTTTGCAGCGAGAGGGTGATGGAGCGTTGACGTGGCTGGCTCCTGACCTTGTTTCCGAGTACGTTGGGCGTACTCACATTTCTTCAACTTCAAAAATTCATAACTTTTACATACGAGCTCCGTTTTTGATGTTCTTTATATCCACGCGTAAGTGAGACTATGATATACAACTTTCGTTTAGACTCCGTCGGCTAATTTTGACTTTATTTTTAAAGTTATATTTTTAACAGGCCGGGACAGGAAAAGTCCGTTAAAAATTCATAACTTCTTCATCCGACGTCCGTTTTCGTCTGTCTTTTAATTTTTGTACTACTATTGACGAGACATTCGATTCTCGTTTAGGTTGTGTCGGCTAAAAATCATTCGATCTTTATTTCGAGTTTTTAGCTGTATACTGCTATACTGAACCTTTGAAAAATCATAACTTCCTCATACGCAGTCAAATTTTGACGTTTTTTATGAAAGTTCTCGGTTTAACATATTCTACAACTTTCATTTAGATTGTTAAGTCTAAAAAACATTTTATTGAAAACTCACTTTTTACGTTGAACAGTGTTTTGCCGGTTTTGTCGTGGATCTTCGATTGGTCATAACTCCTTCATTATAACTCGAATTTTAGTGTTCTTAATATTTTTGGAAACCTTGTTACAATCTCTACCACTTTGTTCATACCAATCGAGATTATTTAATACTTCATTTTTGAGGGTCGATTATGTAAATGCACACAATATACAAAAATTTCTCTTTATTGTTTTAAAAAGAACTACAAATTGATCTATACTATTACATAGATTTGAAATAACGGTTTGTTACATTATCCCCCTGTTAGAGAGAATTTCATCCCGAAATTAGGACTATAGCATTACAAAAAGACTAGGGAAAAAGATGTGGATATTTCTGATGCATTTGATCCTCCCGCTCCCAAGTGAATTCAGGTTCCCCTTTTGCATTCCAGCGGACCTTCACTATCGGGATACGACTTTGTTTGGTTTTCTTAACTTCCCTATCTAGAATCTCTACGGGTTCTTCCACAAAGTTGAGGGTCTCGTTTAACTCGATCTCCTCGAGTAGGATCACAAGAGTCTCGTCGGATAGACACTTTTTCAAGTTCGAAACGTGGAAGGTAGGATAAATGTTACTTAGTTCTTGGGGTAGTTGAAGTCTGTAAGCTACAGGACCGATTCTGGCAAGAATCTCGAATGGTCCTATGTACCTTGGATTCAGTTTGTCACACTTTCCAAAGCGTATCATGCCCTTCCAGGGTGAGACCTTTAACAAGACGCGGTCACCAACCTGGAACTCCAAGGGTTTTCTCCTTTTGTCAGCGTCTTTTCTGTCTATCTCTGGAAGCTTTAAGTCACTCCCGAATTTGTACGATTTTCTCCGTAGTTTCTCGAATAATTTCTGAACCAGTGAGACTATTGTTTAGAACTTGACCTTTAGCTAACTCGTATCACCCACTTCAGCCCAGCACAGAGGCGATCTGCACTTGCGGCCATAGAGTGCTTCAAATGGAGCAGTCTTTATGCTAGTGTGATAACTGTTATTGTAAGAGAACTCGACAAGGGGTAAATGAGTATCCCATGCCTTCCCAAAGTCTATCACGCAGGCTCGCAACATATCTTCTAGAGTTTGAATCGTCCTCTCACTTTGTCCGTCCGTTTGTGGATGGTAGGTTGTACTCATGTCCAGCCTAGTTCCCAGAGAGTTTTGTAAAGACTGCCAGAAACGAGAAGTGAATCTACTATCTCGGTCTGAAATAATAGATATTGGCACACCATGCAGTCTAACTATTTCTCTGATGTATGTTCATGTTAGCTTCTCCATCTTGTCGGTTTCTTTTATGGGCAAGAAGTGTGCGGATTTGGTCAATCTATCGACGATTACCCAAATAGTATGACAACCACCCGTTGTCTTGGGTAACTTAGTTATGAAATCCATCGTAATCCGCTCCCACTTCCATTCAGGGATTTCAAGTTGTTGCAATAGCCCTGAAGGTTTCTGATATTCTACCTTGACTTTGGCACAAGT